TTACATCTGGGGCAGTATTTATAACATTCTTGTATCTTACTTAATTCAAAGTCAACAACTATCTTATCTACATAAACTGTGCTGTGTGTCACAATGTCGAAACAGTGATCGTCGACAGCGGTGCTGATCTGTCACAGCAGTGCGGGTGAAAAAGTGCCCAAGGCGTCGTTTTCTGCCCAGGTCCGTGAAGCAGCGCGGCCGTTGTGGCGGCGCCCAGTGCGTTCATGTGCTGTCAAGCCAGCCGTGACATGGTGCTGATTTGCACAGCCACTGGCATGAATCCATGCCCATCCAAGAGAGAGAGTGCTTCACACCAAATGACAAACCAAATTTGCTTTTGGCTTGTGACAGCAACACATTTGCAAGACTGCGAATCACATCAATGGATTGCTCTACGTCGCTCTTCTGCTAGTGCTCATTGATACCGAGGTCTTCCAGGTGCGAAACCCCAATCGTTTTTGGCAGCCATATGACAAGTCCTTGCAAACTGCATGCTCGGCTCCTGATCGCACATCAGCTTACCTCAGCCCGAGCAGCTGGCAAAAGTGCACAAGTTCGCAGACTACGGCTCGCATGCTGTTTTCTGTCTTGTCGAACAGAAGGACAGATGCTCTCTGTGTGAGAGTAATACGCTGTGGAGTTTAAAAGAAGCTCCCACTGAACACACTTCTCAAGCATCTTCCAAGAGCCTTGGCAGTAAACTAAGGTTGACCTGCAAGGCAATGTGACGGGTACGAGCAAGGAGAAGACGTGATGTCTCTCACGAAGTGATTGCCGGCGGCACTCACACGCCAGCTATAAGGAGATTTCTTTGCGAAGTAACCTTCATGCTTGCACTTGGACATTGCAAGCACGTTAAAGTCCCTGAGATTGCCGCTGGCCGTAGGCCCGCGAATCGACAGTGCTCGAAAGTACCGAAGTCTGACCTATGTTTTGAACGAAGAGCTTTTCAGCCCGGCCACACTTTGGTTTCCAACTGGAGGCGTACATAAGCTCGCAGGGTTCCGCAAAAGGCTCACTTGGAAGTGAGCGAACCCTCTAGGCATCGAAGCCATAGTTCATTAAAAATTATTTGTTTTGTTTTGGGCTTGGTGGAGCTTGTCATTGCTGTCATTGCGGAAATTTGTGCCGTCAGAGGTCCAACGAGCAACTTCAAAGGGACATGCTTCGCAGTGAACTTCAGCCAGTCAAAGCTCGGATTTATGATCTGTAAGGCACTACAGTAAAACTTCTTGGACACATTATCATTGTGCATTTGCAATCTCAGCAGACTCATCATCGAAATGCAAATCAATTCATCTACATGGTGAGCTCTTCACTGCTGTTTGCTAACCGAACGACAACACCTCTGAGCCTTGGACGCTTGGGATCTGGTGCAACTGCGAATGCTACTCTCATCAAGTCTTCACAAACCAACAGAAAGCATTGTGTCATCATCAGCGGCTGGCAAAGAAGTAGTTTCAATGAATCAGGTGATGTCTGAACAGTTGCAGGAGCTGTCTCTCTGCGATCGCTTCCGACAAAAAGGAGTGTGGCTGCTGGAAGAAGCTGAAGCTGTACTTGATGGTATGGCAACAGAGACTGACGCCAGCAGGCTCGAAAGACGCACTTTGGTGCAACGGACGCTGCTGTTGGACTTTTAGAAGGCAGACCCGGAGGAAGCATCAGATTGGAATGGAAGGCAGAGACGGAACCGGCACGGTATTCGACGCATAGTGCTTGGCTTGCGGAATCATCTGAGTTCCTATTGTGCCAACGTGAAGTTCCAAGGCACACCTCTGTTCAGCGTCCTGCAAGCTTCGAACCGACCTTGTGAGAGGTTGTTACCACGAACATGTCATCACTCACTTTGGTTCCAGAAAAGCAAGGCGCAGAAATCCTCCACGTCGACGATCTGGAAGCCGCTGGAGTCACTTCGAACTGGAGAGCTGTTGCTCTCAGTTGTCAAGGAAATATTAGATCTCAGTGCAATGGGTTAGAGACCCAGGCGACGAACTCAATTTCCTGAAGAAGCGCCACGTCCTCTCTCGGTCCATCATCCATGGCAACCAGTCGAGCATGAATAAGACATGCGTCGACATTCTTTTTCGACCTCCAGGCGGACAATCCTGAGGCGCACTTCGCCATACGGTATTACACATGTTGAAACCAACGAGAGGTCGTAGTCTCTTCTTTGCCACTTAACCGGCTACTTACACCAGCACCAAGCCAATGCCAATGCGTCTCCAGCAGTGCGGCAGACTAAGAGTTTTTAGTGTAATAGTGATGAAGGCAAGCATGAAGCCTACCATCTTGTTGAAGCTTTGAGTAATGCTGATTGGACTGGCTGCAAAAGAACCCGAAAAAGCGTATCGGAATCCGCGTTCTTTGGTGAACAGCCAATTGGTCTATTCTGCAGCGTCTATCGCGCTCTAGCGCCGAATCGAAGTACTATGCTGCAATCAGCTGTGCCATCGACGGCTTGCTCATCCGAGTCCGCTCGTGCAATGATTCCGAGAGTGGACACGACTTGGTAGGTCGAGAGAAAGCCGCTGCCCAAGTAAGCGTTCCTCGTTGCATTGGAGACCGCCCGGTCTGTTGGTGTAGATGATGAGCAAAATGATGGAAACAACGAGTCCACGTCCTGGAGCTTCTCTTGCCTTCGTGATGCAGTTGTTCAGATGTGTTGCAGCGTTTGTGGAAGCGTACCCGGCAGCTCTAAGTGCTGCCGTGCAAGTAGTGATTTGCATCGTGCTGTATGTGGCTTCTTGCATCTTTCGGCGAGACTCTCAGCCGACTGTGAACGTCCATATCGGTGGCGTCACTGTGAGCGTGGCTCCATCTGCTCCCCAGACTGCACCTCAGCTTTATCGCAAGGACCGCCTTGTGCAGGTTACAGCAGTGCTGAGGGTTTCGATGCCGAAGCGTGGATCACTGAAGCAGCCCGTGAGGCTCGCATGCAAAGTGTCAAGCCGAACGCAGAGGTGCTTCCAGCAAGACCAAAAGCAGCCCACGAAGTGAAGAGCGCAATGAGCGCCTGCGTATGCCGGAGTCGAGCAACGACCATAAGCAGCTGCCGGTGAAGTTTGGGTGGCAACGAACCAAGGACGGCGTTATCATCGAATCGGATGCGGCGAGCTGCACAGTGCCAACAATGTGGTGAGTTTGAGCCGCGCTGAGACCGAGCACCAAGGCTACACGCCATGCGGTGTGTGCCGGCCGTGATCTTCTTGAATATGCAAACACACTTGTGTCTTTGGGCAATGCAAGCTAAATGCTCATGATGCGACGCAGTGGACATCTGTACATAGTCAGTGGTGAGAACCTCAGGGGATTCACTATTGACACGTGTTGCCTGCTGTACATAGCTTGAATTAAACTATACCGACTGATTGCTACGACCTTGTGTGATGCTTTCTTGAATGATGATTGGCACGGTGTGTCGAGACACACCTCACGCGCAATCTGCGTGTCTATCTTGAAACTGACCAACTTCGAATGTGTTGGCTGTGGAGCAGCCATACATCCGCGTGGACTGGTTTGTGACAACCGTCCGAATGCCAGTTAGGGTGTCCCAATCTTGAGTTGTGATTCCTTGAGTGATCGGTGCGACCGCAACCGCACAGATGAGTCGCTTGTCATTCTTGGACGATGCCTACGCTTGGGTACGTCAAGCAATCTTTGCGTGCAGGGCTCCCGAGCCTTGTATGCAAAGCCACGTAGTTGTAGAGCTGCTGTACAGTCGCAGCTGAAGTATCGAATGAGCCCAATCCGTACATACGTAGCATAACTACCGCTGAAAGGCGTAACTACCGCCATCCACTACGATGCAGACGTTCATGAACTAAGTGCACTTGTTCTGATACCAACGGTGGTGCAAGCTTTCAAACGGTGTTTATGCTGAAAGCACACACCGAGGCGGGGTGTGAAAACTTTGCACTCCTTTACGCCCACCGGTATTTGATGTTTTCCATTTGTTTTACTTTACTCTACTTTCGTCTGCAGTCTCACTTGTGAATCCGAGATTCNNGGTTGCATGTTTGTGTTTTTCTTCAGTTTTCCATAGCACAGTCACTCGAGTATGAGCCACTCGAAATCTATGTGGCTCAGTTTGTCGTGGTTGCGTCTACACATTGTAACATCTGACTTCAGGGTTGCAATGCGTTTTACCGCCAAAAGGAGTGTGTCGACTGAACGCTGTAGGGTGCCTGAAGCCAGATGTTTGATGCGATTGCAGTTGGTGGCTTGAAATACCATGTTTAGAACGACGACTTCCCAGCTTTTGAGGATGAGGCTGAGTGTGTGGAACAGGCGGTTCTTCGAGGTGATGGGAGTCGAGTATGCGAAACGAGCAAGAAGGCCACTAACTTTGACACAGAGAGTTGCGCATGCAGAGTGTAGCGGCGGGACTCCGAGGACCGGCTTGCAAAATTTTCGTGGAACATGCGGACCCACGGGTGTTCACATCCATCAGGAACGATTATTTTGAGATGCAAGCAGCGGATGTAATTGCCCTGTCGGCAGATTTCTTCCACTTGAGCCGAGTCCGCCGGCCATATGTGCAAACATTGCAGCGGACCTTGTCTGAGTCTATTTTTGTAGCATGGATCTTGCCCCCTTGTGTGTTCAATGCAACACGGCACTCCCGTCCCCTGCCTACAAAGCCGGGGTGTGGCGTCCTGGAGGCGTGGTGTTGCCACAACCTCAGATTTCAAGCCCGGCTCAAAATGCGAAGTTGTCGTTGCAGTTTGGCTGGAATTGGCTGCAAGCGGCAGTCAATGCGCAAAAAACAGCACAACTACTGCAATCGCAGTAGTGCCACGCAGCAGGAGCAGCCTGTGAACTTGTCCAAATGTGAACTTGGCCAAATAGGGGGTCGAGTGCAGCAATAAAGCTCTGCCGTCGGGAAGAAGGCCAAAAGCTGTTCCAATCAGAATCCCAATGGATAAACCTGCTCGGAAAAATGAGCTAAGTTGAAAGTGCCCCTCGGTTCAGATTTGCATGGCTGTGTAAGGCAAAAAAACATGTAAATGAGGCCAGTTTAACGTGAAAAATTTAATGTCAAACAGGACGGTGGCGTTCCTAGAGGGTTTTGGGCGTGGGATGTTGGGTTTTAGGGTTTGGTGTCTATACAATCCCGGTATAACCCATAAAGCCATAAATCAATTTCCCGATACCTACAGCCTACAGCTGAAAGCCCTAAGCCTAAACCGTACACCCACAGACTCGCAAAAAAAAATACTTTGGGTCCCTCGAACGAATGAAAGACCAAAATGAAGTTCACGGAGGCCAAGACCTGTTGCGAGAAACGCAGCGCTTTGAGTTTGAGGTCCAGAAATAAGACAAAAACACTTACTTGTACAATGAACAACTTTTAAAGGGTCCTGATCGGGTTTTGGAAGCAGTGCGGCGTTTTGATTTTGTCTGCAAGTCTGCACGCGGCTTGACAGGAACCGAGCAGGACTGGACAGGTTATTCATCCCGTGTGGCCTGCAGGCAAGAAGCCGTAACTACCGACCCAAAAGCTTACGGCAATAACCGACCCCCCTCGGTAATTAATCCGCTGCCCCGCGTCCGCAAAACCTTAATTACCGACCCAGCTTAATTACCGACCCCCCTCAAAAAACTTAAGCTAGCCATTCGCTGCAGGCTCCCTGGTTGTCGGCTCACACCCTAAATCCCTAAACCTGTAATTTGCAAATCCCTAATGCCCCCCCGAACCTTAAACCATGACTGAGCATTGAACCCAATAAAATCAAGACACACTTGAGGCACACAGTGTAGGTTTTTAGGGCTAAAAAAGCTTTAGGAGTTAGGGTTTAGGTGTTTTGAGGGTTTAGGATTTGGAGCTTATTGGAGGAGTATTCGGGGCAGAAACTCTATAAAACCATGGAAGTTGGCAGCGCCGTTGGGACCAAACGTGTTTTCCAAGCCAAACCGTCCAAACCTGCGTTTTATTGCAAACGGTCTGCTCGGAAAAGGAGCAGAGGGTGCAAGGCGTCACCTCTGACAGTAGACAGTGGCAGAAACTCTATAAAACCATGGAAGTTGGCAGCGCCGTTTGGGACAAAACGTGTTTTCCAAGCCAAACCGTCCAAACCTGAATTTTTATTGCAAACGGTCTGCTCGGGAAAGGATTAAAGGGTGCAAGCCATCACCTCTGGCAGTACTATGGGTAGACAGTGGCAGAAACTGTATAAAACCATGGAAATTGGCAGCGCCGTTTGGGACCAAACGTGTTTTTTTCCAAGCCAAACCGTCCAAACCTGAATTTTTATTGCAAACGGTCTGCTCGGGAAAGGAGCAAAGGGTGCAAGGCATCACCTCTGACAGTAGACAGTGGCAGAAACTCTATAGAACCATGGAAGTTGGCAGCGCCGTTTGGGACCAAACGCGTTTTTTTCCAAGCCAAACCGTCCAAACCTGATTTTATTGCAAACGGTCTGCTCGGGAATGGAGTAAAGGATGCAAGGCATCACCTCTGACAGTAGACAGCGGCAGAAACTCTTTAAAACCATGGAAGTTGGCAGCGCCGTTTGGGACCAAGCGTGTTTTCCAAGCCAAACTCGCAAAGCATTACAAACGATCTGCCGGGAAAGCTCTGGAGCTTATTCACCGACCCCGGCCGCCCCGGCCTTATTTTGGGCAAGTTAACAAAGCAGAGGCAGCAGAAGTAGAATCTAAGTAGAATTGCATGCATACTGATGGTAGTAGTGTCAGAAGTGCTAATATTTTTTGGGAAAGCTCTAGTCGTGATGTAGAGTACGCCGTTGACATTGACGGACGGCATTTCCCGACAGCTATTCGCCATATTACTTTCGAGCTGATGAGTTTTTGGCCGTGTCCAAGCTGCAATTGTCGTTGTGCAGTCGTTACCGACCCTAGTGCAGCGTGATCATGCAGCATGCAATGTATTGCTGCATGGTTTTGGTTTTGGCGTGAGCAGAGGAGAAGATGCAGTGGTCTTGGCGAGTGTTCCGCCTGGCTTCCGTCCACGTCGTGGTGTTGGTACTGACCCCAGCAGAAGCGGCAGATATAATTTTCGCAGGAGCATGGGCATGGCATATGTTGAAGCGGTGGGCGGATGCTCGTGATTTGACATCCAGATGCGGGAGCTTGAAGCTCTTTGGAGGAGCACTTGGGCTGTTCAGCATGGGCAAGGGCAACCGCGGAACCCGAGAATATCTCGCTGACAGCGGGGTTGGGCAAATTTTGAGTGGTTATGCTGTTACCTTGCTACACATCAGCATGACGAGATCTTTGCTGAGGCCAAGGCCAAGGCTCAAGCCGAGATTCAACAAAGCCTCGAAAGCCGCACCTCGGTTCGCATTGTTGCGATCTCGAGAACTCCATTGGTTTAAAGTTAAAAATTCTGTTTATTGATGATGTTATGGTCTGTTGCAAGGTCACATTTTCGTCGTGGCAACTTGGCTGCCTCGTTTGTTCTCTGGAGTGGTTGCAGCCAGGGCATCTGATCTTGCCAGGTCGGGGCAACTACGACCGACCAGCCGCGCCCTTTTGTGATGATTTGCACACCGCACCCTGCACACCGATTCTACGGATTCTTCCAGTTGTACACGCTGACAGCGGGCGAGGAAGACCTAAGCTGCCAGGCCATGGTTACGTGCACAATGGGAACAGTTTGGCATTCGGTACGTGCCTGTGTGCGTGTCTGAGTTTCGTCATGGGATTTTTGAGGGTTTGCAAGTTTTCTCCTTCTCCTTCGCCGATCGAATCCTGCGTTCAGGATGGTTCAGCCTCACCCTGTTTGGTCGCAGCCTCTTCAGCAAATGGCAGAGGTCCGTGAGTAACACTCTTTCTGGGTGTGTATTGTCTGCTGGGCCAGCTGGCAGGAGATGAATGGTGCCTTTTATCCAAATGTGGCAGCTTGCCAGCATTGCCGGTCACTGCGAAAGCGCAACTGAAGTACCTGACAATACCTGCCTGTCCGGGAGAGTCAGCGTCACACGTGGTCAGGCCTGGACGGCAGACGGAATCAAGAAAAGGCAGAGATATTCAGCAAAGTCTTCAGAGCTTGCATCGGGCAATTCGGGTCAGGCTCAACGTGGCCTCCAACCCACTCTACGGGACTGGTTTGGACAGCATCTTCCGCACCCGCGGCTTGCATGACACGTGTCCGACTGAGCATGTTCGCAGCCGCCAGAGCCACATTGTCATGAGCCCACTGGAAGCACACCAGGTCTGGCATGCACAGTGTGCGTCTACTTTTCTTCGCTGGATTTTGCAGTTCTTGTTGCTAATTGGTGCCTGCATGTTAGCCGCACAGTACTCAAGTTTTGCAGGGGACGGCAAACAGACGAGGGCGGTTGCCACAATGCCCAGACACGAAGTAAAGTTACCCTAGCATTTGCCCCAGACTCGAACCCAACCTTGAAACTAAACCGTCCATGGGCAGCGCCAATGTCAGATTTGCAGCCATCCAGAGCTGGAGCGCAAACCAGACGCACAGAAGCTGCAGAAGCAGGCTTGAGGCAGTGGATTCTCGGGACACTGCAACGTCTGGCCGGCGGTTCGCGAGCTGCAGGGCCAATTCGGGCCAGTTGGCGCTTGATTCGACGATCGGTGACCGGTGCCGCACCTGTGCGGCTGGATCCTTTCGGTACTGCGGAGCTTCTACACAAGGCCTTGAAGGATCTTGCGCTGACGAGAGAGCAGCAGGATGTGTTCGAAAGGGTCGTGGCCTGCAATGCTCACTTTTGGCAAGTCGCTGTTGATGGATGCCTCGATGGCTCCCCGCCGTGGCGGCGGCACGTGGCTCTCAACCTGGCCCTTCTTCGAGTCTACCACCGCCACCTCGCAGCCCTGCGCATCGTGGATGGCTTGTCACATGGCTCCGTCCTCTCTCTTTCCTACTCCGAAGCTTTAGAGGCTCTGCGTTACTGTCGCTGGGCTCTTGCGGTATATGGCGGACGGGGGCTCCGTGATGGGACCGAGAAGATCGACTCTGAGGGTACGAGCAAGATGGCAGAGCCTCCGAGCTCGAGCCAGCCGGACGAAGAGGAACGTGTGGCCATGGCTGCTGCTGTAGCCGAGTGTGAACCTGATGCCATTCTCGTGTCAGACATGGATGATGCAGCACAGGCCAGTGACCCGTTGTGCCCGCGATTTCTGCTCGCGGAGGATGTCCAACGCCGAGAGCTGATTCTCTCTGTAAGAGGCACGCAGTCACTCTCAGATCTCTTCGCCGATCTGGTGGGCGATGCAGAGGACTTTGCAGGTGCCAGAGCCAGAGCTGCTTACACGGAGCGACACCAAAAGCAAGAACGACAGCGGTGCCAAGAACAACAAAAGCAACATGCACCAAGGACAGAAAGATACAGACCCGAGAACTCCTGCACAACATGCACTCTTGTAAGAACCGCATCAACACGTAAACATGCAGTGAGAGGTGAAGCCTTAAGGCTTCTACTGCTATTCTACTCTGATGCACATGGGCAGGCCTTTCCGTTCGTTGTTTTGGTTAGTGCGACTGTGGAAGTGCCGGGCACGGAAGAGGGGCGCTTGTTCGGCAGGTGGCAAAGCCCATTCGGGCATCCTGCAGACGGCTCGCAGGCTCCTGGACCGCTTGCATCCACACCTCCAGGAAGGCCATCCGGTTCAGTTCACGTAGCAGAGTCTTTTGGAGTGGTGCCGTAACGGGTCTCGCTTTTTGAAGGCTTTAGCCGCCTGGACGAACTGGGCAACAGCGGAAGCAGCCCATCTAAGTCGAAGAAGCGCCTTGTCCTCTGTGGCCACTCCCTCGGTGCCGGAGTGGCTTGGAGTTTTATTTTGTGGAGTGCGGTCGAAAACGCACCCGTGGCGTTGGGCTCTGTGTGTCCTTTGGATTGTTTTTGAGCAGTGCCGTGAGGTTTGCGAGCTCTTGGCGATTCTGATGCTTGGTGGCGAGGATGCAGCCTGGACGCTACCAAAAGGCACCGAGCTGAAGGTCTTCCTCTTTGCGCCTCCTCCCGTCTTCGGGAGCGAGCCGCGTGGACGGCGGTCGAGGAAGGCTTTTTCGCCGAGACAAAAACGGGGGGGGGGGGGGGGNNGGCATTGCGTTCTTCCGAGGCCCGTGCAGCGAGCCAGCAGCTTCTCCCGGCTCTGGAGCTTCGGATTCCGTCCTGCGGTTCCTTCAGCGGTGCAGAGGGCCAGGGATTCCTCTCTCGCGGCTCGGCTCTGAGGAGGCTGGTAGCCACTGGTAGCCTCGAGCCGCGTAAGGCACTGCTCAGGCCTTCGCCATGAACTACGACATCATTCCCAGAACATCATTGCACAACGGCTACAAGCTTTTCCAGGAAGCGAGGGCCATCGACGACTTCGTTGACTGGGGCAAGAGGGATGTCCTTCGCAAGTTGGGCCAAGTGGATGCAGAAACGCAGGCGCGACAGATCATCCTTGTCAAAGCCACAGCTTCGCATGTCGCACCACCGATAGGCAGCATCTGGCAGCATGTCAGGTGGCTGTGGCTCGCGAGCTCGAAGATGCCCTGTGCAAGGGAGCATCGACAAGGCCTGCAACAGGCAACCCGTTCCCGGTCCAGCACGCCGTCACCTCCCGGCTGTGCCACGTCCTGCTGGTACCAGGCGAGAACTTCCCAGGGTGTACTGGCAGAGTCCTGCATGCTGGGAGCCCGGCAGGTGGGACTGCTAGCTTTTCTTCTTCTGGACAGTCCTCGGCCCAGAAAAATGCACGGGTGCATTCTCGGCTTCTGCGTTGTGATGCCAAGCGAAGCTGCGGTGCACAGTGAGGTTGCATCCTGCTGAATGCAGAGACGGAGAAGATGCAGTAGGCAAGGAGTCAGGGATCTCCAAGCGTCTTTAAACCGTCGCCCCCTGAACCAGATCACAGAGCCCACGGCCGCTGGGTGCTGAAGCGCTCAGATCACCTGCGGCAGTGGCGGCGGCGCTTTGCATGGATTGAGGCCTTTAGACCGAAGACGTCGGATTCATGCTTAGCCTCAGAGTGTGCACGTGAGGCTGGCGAGTTGTGCTTCGCAGTGTCTCCAAAGGACCCCTGCCCTCAGCTGAGCCTCATGTTCTAACGAGGCCCATCTGGAAGGGCACAGGGCGGCAGGGAGCCCTACAACGGGGTCCTGCAGGATCCGCTGCGATCAAGCGTACCCCTGACGGCCGACAGCACGTTAATCATGCTGCTCGGAACCTTGGCTGGGCTGCTTGATTTCATGACCCGTCTGCTGCCTCCCCTAACATTGTTGTTTTCGAGACTTTCTCGGCAGTGTTGAGGTGGACGTGTAAGCTAGGCCGAACTTTTTTAGTCGTCTCTCAGAGTATGTGGACTATGTGGACTCAGGACAGCCAAGTAGTCTGCCGTTCCCCGTTGGCATGGGGCCGACGATGTCCTTCCGTGCCAGCGAGCCCAATTCAGGACGACATTTGAACTTGCGAGCCTTGCTTTTGCACTTCTGACGTGCAGCCAGCAGGAACTAACACGGAGTTGACGACGCCAGCTGCTCGCGATTTCGCAACGCCGTGGGCGTTCCGTGTGCAGACTGCAAGCACCTGGTCAGGCCACCCTGGCCTGTTGGAGTTCCAAGAACAAGCCCAACTGTTTTGACCGAGATATCGCGCAGGCATCGAGCTGCTTCCAAGTACGGGACAAAGGCAGGCTTTGCCTGCTGTCCGGAGTTGTCTGGCCGCCGAGGTCTTCCTTTGTACAGAAAGCGCATCTCTGTCGCATGTGATGACACGTCAGCTCATGAGCTGAAAGCCGTAACAAAGAACTTCCTTTGCTAATTTTGTTGCTACATGACCGGTATTTGACGATGCAACCAGTCAGATTCTGGGATGCCGGAGAGTCCTGGGGGTACCTAAACTAGCCGCTTGCATTGCTGCCTACACCGACTAGTACCCCAAGTATTCAGTTTAGCAATTGGGGTGTGAGCACTTGACCGCAAATTCCAAACACTGAAACCCGAAACCCGAATCCCTAAACCCTAAACCCTAAACCCTAAACCCTAAAGCCCTAACCAGAAAGCCCTAAACCGGCTCCGAAAGCCTCTTGGCCAGCAGCAGCAAAGAGTCGTGTAGCCCTTAAACCCCCGAGCCACAAAGCCTAAGCCCCTAAACTAAACCTCCAAATTTCAAACCGCAAATCCTACTAAGTCTGTAAACCGCTCGACCATGGCTGCAGATATGCAGGTTTCCGAAAGCAAGTCGGGAGAGCCTATTCAGGGGTCCTTCTAAGAAAGATCCTATTATTTTGGGTGTATCTCAGATTCCCATGTTTAATGAAATATTTCGTCGACAGTGTTCCACTGCTACGGGCCCCGTGTCTTGGGGGGACAAGGCCAAAGCCCTTTAACCAGGACCCCTTCACCGTGTGCTTGGGGCGGTTGGGCCGTTTGTCTAATCTTCCGCGAAGTGACAGTGTGTCATGTGTTTTTCGATTGCGCTTATTTTCCGGACGTGACTTGACCCTGCACACTAAACTCTAAACCCTAAGCTTGCATGATACGCGGAAATGCATGTATGAACCACACCAAAGGATAGAGCAGCAAATGCAGCCAGCAAACATGTCTATATGCAGACAGATTTACAAGCACGCGTGTAGCTTACTTTCTTGCGGTCTAGGGACCCTTGTTTAAGGGTTACTACAGTGTAGGGGTTTAGGCATGTTCATTGTCGTGGTATGTTTAGACTAAAGAGTTTGGACCCAGGCAGCCGAGCGCGATGCTTGGCTCGTGGACCTGGCGGCCGCCGTCCGCGCCGCGCGGCAGCGCTGCATCCGTGGCCTGGCAATGCCATCGGTGCCGGGGTTTGTAGAGTGGGTTTTATTGGGGATTCAGCGCCTTTAGGGGTGGGGTTACAAATGCTTAGGGTTTAAGTTTAAGGTTAGGCCTCATGTGGGATTTGTGTCCGAGACTGGCAGTGCAGCAAGTCTGGATAGAGCATCACCTGAAGACTACGCCTGAATGGCTGCAGGCTAAGGCGGTTCAACTCGTCTCTACGACCCAAGAGTCGATCTGCAACGTGCTTAATTGGCGGTCGGTGTGGAACACTACACTACAGTTGGTACTCCAGCACTTGCACACAGGAGATGACCGCATGAATTGAGAGTCATGCAAAGGCTGCTCGTGCTTTGAAGTTCAATCCCCGACATTCACGTTCAACATTTGTTGGGTGACGCCTGGAATCCGTGAAAAAAACAGGTTCCCACCTGGACCCCTTCTCAAGCGCTTCTCAAAATGCCAGATTTAAGTTCGAGGCTGAACTGGATCTCCTTGCAAACCAGGCCAACCGCTACGTTCGTTTCCAACCATTTTTTTTGCGCCCATCAGGTGTGCTGCCTGCGGTGCCTTCCGAAGACTTTGGCCGGGAGGCATTGCTTGCGGACGGGTTAATGAACGACCACGATGCTGGGCGATATGAGGTCGCGCTTGAGGCTCGCCGAATCTCAATGGTTGAGTATGCAGGTGAGAGAGAGGCCTTTCCGGTGCACTGGTTCCCATTCCCAGGCCCTTATCGAACAGCTGCGCTGCGTGGAGTGCCCGGAAGAGGAAAACAACGAGCTGCCCATTCAGAGACATGATATGCAGAGCGTCAGGGTGCGGACTGGCTGAGAATCCGAACCGTGACTCTCATGATTGCCCTTTGCGAGGTCAATAAATGCCACCACTGTGGACATAGCACGGGTCTTCCGTCGGTGCCTCATACTCTCATCGGCAGCGCCTCATCTTGGGCACTCCCCGACTCTGCAAAGCCCAGGCGAGAATATTCGCGAAGGTGACGAGGTTGTGGCAGCCTTAGAGTCAGCGAGTCGTTTCAGCTCGGAAGCTGTAGCTCACGGCCCACATTCACTATCATTCACTCCGAGGTCATGCGGATGGACTGCGAGGGTTCCGAGTACGAGCTCCTCAGGCATGGATTGGCACTGCACTCATCCTGAAAAAGCTATGCGTCATCACTTATGTTCGGCTGTGGGAAAGAACCAAGTCGAGCTACCGACGGCGCGTCATACACCATACTCCGTTTACTTAGGGATAGAGATAGATACAGCCCCAGATGACATGCATTGATGCAAAATGGGTTGGAGGGGCTGATAATAAGGTATATATATACATACATACATACATGCACACCTTAACTCGGAGCAAGAAACCAGTTTACTTATGCATGTTGCACTCGAGGGGGAATGCTCAGCAGATGTTTAAACATCACAGTGTCACAAAGTCTGCGAGGGTTGCTGTTGCATAAGACTCAGATTTTTCAGGCAGGAGGCATTTGCAATCCGAGCCGTAAAGTGGAGCTTCTTGGAGTTCTCTTCCAGCCGAGCCGAAGTGATCTGCTGTACACAGCACGAGTCCACAGTCAAAGCGGCGGGGTGCAGGCACCTGATGCTTTCCGGTTGGCTGTGTAAACTTCGCCGGCTGTGCGCCACGAAGAGCTGCAAGTTGTTTGGAAATTCGTTGGTTCTACGCCAAAATGGTTCCGCGGCAGGTACCTGGAGGCTAGGACCTCGGCAAGGGGAAGAAGAGTCTTGCTTTTCAGTCGCATTCTCCTCGCAGGCTCATGCAATGTCTCGACCGAAGCTGAATAGGCCTGCATAATCTGCGTGCGTGCTTGCATCATCGAGTCTAAATACCGACAAGGAACGAGTATGCAGAGGGCAGTGTGTGCACCGAGAAGGCTTCAAGTGCATGGGCAGTTGCAGGTTTCGGACTTTCGACGTGATTCTGCCATGGCTGCTGGAGCCGTGTGGAACGGAGGCGGAGCATGGTAAATGCGTTGCGGCATTACAGGACAGTTGCTTGTGAACAGGTTTATGTGGACACTGGCTACCACAGTACCTCTGCTGCTCTGCTGAGCTGCATCGTTGTAGTGGTGCTTCAAGAGCTAAGATACAGCAGAAAGCCTTGCGCTTTGGCCAAAGCAAGACGGTGTTTGCCGTTGGTGCCCAATGCTGCTCCTGGGCTGCACGAACCCAGCCGTGAAGCGAGCCTGTCCCAAAGTAGGCGGCGGCCAAGGTATGTTCCCTTTCAGGGGGCGAGTCCTCGTCGGCGTGGGCCTGAGCAGACTGCGAGGGCTGTGGGGCCACGTTGCTGTTCGGGTCGCTGCTGGCAGGTGCCCAGCAGCTTCAATAAGGCAGGGGCTGGAATTCGCATCGTTTGTGCGGCCCTTCGTTTCTCTATCGAGAGGCAGTGCTTTGATGCCACCTACACCTGCGAGTTGGGACTGAGCTTTGCCGTGCACAGAGGCTCTCCGTCGGCTGCAGGGGATTGCCGCTTGCCGAGGCGCTGTTGCAACGTGGAACGGTTCGGGCCTCTCGGTGACCTGGACTGCTGGCGGCGCGGCAGGCGGCGAGATCACGCAGCATGCGAGAGAGACGGAGAGAGACAGAGAGGCAACTCCCCACCGCAGCCTTATGGAAAGAAAGAGAGAGACAGAGAGAGAGAGAGAGAGAGAGAGAGGGGGGGGGGGGGGGGGGAGCTTGGTTAGCAGCCCGGAGTCCCTGCAAGGGGCGAGAAGTAAGAACCCTGTGGAAAGACAGAGAGCGGCCTGGAGCCCCAGACCTCGCCAGCAAACGGCCTGGAGTGTGAAGTTCCGAAGTGCGAAAGAGTGGAAGAGTGGAACGGCTTCGAGCGTTTCGGGCAGAGCAGGCCCATCGCAGCCGGAACCTCAGGTGACCTTGCAGACAGCTTTCTCCACTCATAGATACCTAGATACCGAACCTCGTGTCAGCATCCCTTTTCTTGGACTTGTACCATTCTCCGAGCCAGTGTTGACTGCAAGGGCAGCTGCGAGAGGGAGCGACATGTTGTGTGTCATCCTCCGATGCGAGGGAAGCAGATTGAAGAGTGGTGGGCTTGGATATTCCTTGCCGAAGGCTCCAGCCTGGGACGGCATGAGGGATAGTGCTCAGCAGCGTGGTGTGTTGCCTACGTGGCTGGCTCAAAGGATGTGCTGCAGCGCATCCTTGACACCTCTCGTGCGCTGCCCGATTTTGGAAAATGCACTCAGCGAGGAAGGCAAGCTTTGGCTTCAGCCAATCGGTTTGGTGAGGGGACGGCGAAGCGATTCTGCGATTGGTCGGTGCCCAGGCACCGGGAGTTTGCATGCCTTTCCGGGGTAGCATCCCGTCCGTTCCGTCACAGGCCACGCCGCCCCATCCAGCGATTTTCTCTTACGAGATGTGCTGTGCAAGCATGGCGGTGGTCCGAGCTGTCAAGGAGAGCCGGAGCTGGAGAGCGCTTTCCTTGTTCTGCCCGAGGTTGGAGAGTTGGTCCCCGGCCTTTCTCCGTTCTTCCACCACCAGAGTTCCGGTGAATACTATGGAGCCGCGGCTTGTTCTCTAGGGAAGGGGAGGAGAAGCGGGAGGTAGCAAATTTCGAGCCACGGATCAGCGAGTGCCGCGACACGGAGGCGAGACTAGCGTGCTTTGGCATGCTGCAGATGCTAACCACTAAACGACACTACCATACGCTTTTGACAATGCATCTTCAGAGATTCAATCTGCAGCACTGCAGCAAAGGCAAATAAACAGGAAAGAAGCCACATGTAACAGCCAATGTCCAAGTAATTCGGAAGCAAGTGAACACACAACCAAACAGACGCGCCTTCACGCCTGCCCGTGTTAAAGACACACACACACACAAATACACACACCATACGCGCTGAGTAGAGACCCCTCGCCCCTCGTGCTTCACCGCCAGGAGCCGACGTCCGCGCCCAGAAGCCGCAAGCCGCCCGACCTTGGGCCGCCAGGGCCTCCCGTCGTCGAAGCACCCAATGCTGGCAGGGACAGTGTCATTAGCAGCCGCTTGCGCTTGCACATCAACTCAAGCAGCTCTTCCTTCGTGCCGTAGCTCCAAATAGCGATTCCCCGCAGCAGTTCGCCAGTGCCGCCATGATGCAGCTCCTCTGGTTCACCGCTTCTATGCTAATGGGAGCAGCAGGTTTTCATGAACATGGACACTGCAGCACAGTCTCAGATGGCGCCGCTGTCCGTGCCAGCGAGGGCGATGCTTCAGAACTTTTCCAGTTGGAAATGAGCAGAACTCTCTCGGCATCTCTCTCTGGTGGCGTGCTTGGCCCTGGCCCCCCTGGCAACGCTGGCAATTCCGGCAACTCGGGCAAAGATCCCGATACTCCGGCTCCGAACCCGCCAAACGAGACTTGCGACGCCGAGTAATGCAGCCAAAGCGACATCGAGGAACCAAATTTTTCAAAGTGCTGGTTCAATGGAGGCAGCAATCCTTGTCCCGGCGACACGGCCAACAGCCAAGGTTGACACGTCAGGCGAACCGCTCGAAGTCTGCTTCGACGTCCCGACGGGAGTCTGCCCGACACAGGTGTGCATCAAGTCCGGAAACGGTGGTATACTCTGTTACGATGGTATTGAGAACTGCTCGGCGCCAAGCATCAACCCCAACGACACCATCTGCACAAACTACACCGGCAGTGGTCCCTTTTGTGTCGTGGCCACAGTCGTGGCGGGAAACAACGGCAATTTGAGAGCCATCAGTAATTTCGCATTGACGTGGGACTGCTGCGAAAGCTCGCCTTCATCGACCACTACAACGACGACTACCACCACAGTGGAGCCGACTACAACAACCACCCTGGCTCCTACAACGACGACGACGACACCTGCACCTACGACAACAACCACTCCTGCACCTACTACAACAACGACGACTCCGGCACCTACGACAACCACGACTCCCGAGGAAACCACCTCCACCACAACATCAACCTCAACAACGGCAACGATTCCTGATGTACCAACCACTACAACCACCATGGCTCCCACAACAACCACGACTCCAGCACCTACGACAACAACGACTCCAGCAGCAACGACAACCACCACAGTAGGGCCGACTACAACAACCACCCTGGCTCCTACAACAACGACGACACCTGCACCTACGACAACCACGACTCCA